AACACTGCAGCAGCATCAAAGTGTTTACACTTTTCTTGTTAATATAATGGTGGTGGTCTGAAGTCAAAAAATGGATGAAAACTCAGAAAGTATTTCACCTTGTGTGCACAATCTTAAAACTATCAGTGCCTAGACTCCGGGATCAGAAATCCCAACGGAGCCTCCACAGGACACAGAGTAGATAATCCCCGATATTGACTTAAATGAACTAGGCCTCTTCGCACTACTTCAAAAATGTATTTTCTATAGTTTAAACCTCAGGTGGGTCCCTCTGTGTCAGGTGGAGCCTGAGGCCACCCCGGAAAACATAACAGCCCTCTTTTTATGGCTCTGCGGGGGGATCAGAAACACACGACCCACATCTGTTATTTATTTTCTTTTTCTTCACCACCACACACTTTGCTCTGTAACCAGCTGTTACCAGCTTTAGTTAATCAATCACATCTGTATTGTCTTTACATGATTTGACTTCCATTGGTTTTGACCAAAATTTCTGACCTGTCTGATTGGGTACATTTTGACAAATTTATTTTCGAATCAACTGAAAAGTCACACACATTTTTAACAATCTCGTCAAACGTAGACATGGCAAGAACGAAATATAATCGAATTTACCACGTCTTAGTTGTATTGAGATCCTGTTCATGATCATCCTGCCAATTGTTGAAAAAACAGACGGCTTGTGTTTTTCCGAGTCAATGTCAGGGTCAGTGAATACAGCATGTTGATGTACGTGTCATTGCATTGGGCCGGAGTGATTGACACGGATGACAAGTGGTGCACTATGGCGACTGTCAAGAAAAGGAAGGTGGATGCAGAATGCCACGTATTCCAGGAAAAGTAGAGGGGGTCCTCTCTAAGAAGGCCGCCATGTTTTTTACATTAGTCCAGACTGGACAAACTAAACACCCTTTGAGTTTTTTGAGACAACTGAAGGCTACCACAGGTTCACTTTCATGTTTGGAAGGGGAGAGTGAGGTGAGGGGTATTCAGCTGCAACATGCAATTCCAACACTAGATATCACAAAATTCTACACACTGTACCTTTAATACGTGTGATTATCAGTTGTGTGTGAGGAGGGATAGCGACAAGCACACAGGCACACACACACAGGCTCTTCCTGCAGATTATGTCACAACACAGTGTTTTAACTTCATTGTTGCAGAAGAAGCAACGCCCCATTTATCCAGAAAATGCATATGAATTCAAAACTTTTTATAGAGATGATTAGGATGAAAGGGTGTCAGTTTCATAGTTATTTAATACATTATTGCTGTGTATCTACTATTTTTATTTAAATAAATGGAGTTTTAATATAATATGCATAAGTTAAAAGGGTGTACAGCTGGAGGTTATCTTCCTCCCTGTCACTGTGTGGCACTATGCCAGGGTTATGGCACCCTGATTGCTGGGAGCTGTTGGTCGCCTGCTTATAACTAGGTGAGCGGCCACACCTCTCTCTCTCCTTCCACTCTCTGATCCTTCCGGTGGTGGCTGCGGCGTGGTGTGCTATACCTCGGGGCGCATTCCCGTACATACAGGTAATGCAGCACACTTTCTCTTCCATCCCCTGCAAGCGCAATGTGCACATTGGTGACACTGATTTCCAACTCATAGCACGACAGCTGGCCGGTTATACTGAGGGACGGGTGTCCCGCTGGGAGCTCTGCTGGGGTTAAGTTCATGTCCGCAGCAAATTCGTGCCGTTTGGTGCAGCACTCTCGACCTTCTGCTGGCCCTAGGGCTGCACATAGAATAAGGTATGTACAAATGTGTATGTAGAAATGTGACTAAATATTTTCTAAATGTGGCTAAGAAATATTAACTATTTGCCCTGTGTTTTTAAAGGCTGCAGTTAAGTGTGTGGCCTGTCTCTCATCACCGCTCCCTGGAGTAGTTCTGCTGTTTTGGCTTTGCGGGATCTGTTAGGTTCTGGTTGCTCTGCCCTGGTCTGGTTCTGGTTCTGGCTGGCCACTTTATTCACAACCTCTCCACCCATGTTAATGGGCTGGTGGTGTAACCTCGGGCAGGCAACTTCTGCCACCATTATTTTTAACCATTGTTGTATTAATTTGTTTAATTTGGTTTTGTTTAATTTTGTAGTATTTATTCTCTTTGTATATCTGTTGTTTTATAGTAAATTTGTGGATTACTTGTTTTTTTCTTTCTTTGAGTGTGGTTATTTGATTTTTTATCATTGGTTTTAACTTTTCTTTCTGGGTTGGACAGGTGCTGTGGGCCCCAGGCGGCAGCCCAACTCCCTGGTGGTGGCGTTCTTCACGATTCCCTTTTTGAGTTGGTGTGCAGTGTCATGGTGGTTAGTTTGAGGTCCCCTCTCCTTTTTGCTTCCCTGCCACTGTTGTAAGCCCAAGCCCTGTTCTTCCTCCCTTTTGGTCCCCATGCCTGAGTGCCATTCTATTGTATCCCACCTGGTATCCTGAGAGCTAGTGTATTGCTCGTTTTTGTTTTGCTAAGCGTTAATTTCATTTGTTGTCAATAAAATGTATTCTTTATGGACCGCTCTCTGCCCCTGTGGATAATTGAACTTATGTGATCTTGTCTATTTAAAACTTTCCCCTCTGTAATTTCCTGGGGGTGAAACTACCCCAGGTGGCGTTGTTGCAATGAACCTCAACCCAGTTTGCCACAGGTGCATGTTTACATTTTCATTTGGGCCTTCATCATTTGTGCAAACATGGTGTGAGAAAGTTCAAAATTTGTTCCAGAGTACGAACAAATTTAGGTAAGAACATATTGATGAATCCCAGATTCATGCTTCAAGACTGCATGTAAGATTGCAACTCTGCCTCCTGGTCTCTACTCTGGATTGTCACGGTGTGGACTGTTTAATAAAGTTTTTCTTATTTCTAGATATGAGAGCCACTCCATCCAAAGTTGGATGAATGCAATCTCTCCTAATCAGACCAGGTTTTCACCAATTATCCACTTTGTTTTGTGGACACCACCTCGACAGCCAGTGTTTGGATGACGTGCGGCTGTACATGTCATCATTGGTCATATCAGGCTGGGGTCCGGAGAAAATTACGGAGTCCGACATTGTCTTTTCATGCATACACACCGGATCAATATTGACTTTTGTGACCTCCAACTGATGTAGTCGGAGGTGGAACCTCGATAATCAAGTGTAATGTGTTGGTCACTCTCATTTATCAGTTTAGTGGCCTGTTCATTACAGCAGGAAAAACTTCACACAAAACCTATACAATCTAAAACAGTGCAAATCCAAATTAATTCGAAAATCAAAGCAAAGCTGATCAAATTATGATTTTCTGCTGTTTGACACTTGCAAGTAAAAGTCCTGCATCAAAACTAGAAAAGTGTCAAGGTTAATAATGATTAACAAGTGCTCAAGTTATAGTCAATATATTTGGCTGATCTCAGCCATGTTCAACTGATCTTGTTAATTTATAATACATGCATAAATGTGTCTCAGAGTCCCTCAAGATTGCATACCAATTTGTCACATTATGCAAATTAATTATAATCCATTAGAGTTTATTGATCCATCATGGGAAAATTCTTTTTAACCCTGAAACACAATCCCACACACACAGGAGAGAGATGGTGGAGTGGTGCGAGCATTTGGGGGGTTGCCTTGCCTTGCTGCTCAGCATTGCCCAGGAGGTGAACTGGCACCTCTCCAGCTACCAGTCCACCTTCCATACTTTTTGGTCCATGCTGGACTTGAACTGGTCACCCTCTGGTTCCCAATCCAAGTCTCTACGGACTGAGCTACTCTGTCCCTGAGTTGTAGGTGTGGGCTTAGCTCTTGCCTGTTATATGTAAGGTGGCAAAATCTGTTGTATTCCATCTGGCTAATACAATTGCGTTTACTCGTCATGTGCTAGGTCAACACCATTGGTTGCACCATCTCAGTATCATTAGTATAATCATTAGCTTTAGCATGGCCGTAGCATTAGCCAGCATAGTAGTATGTTAAGGTAGCACTCACAGTAACATAGGTAAACCATTTAATCTTGCTATACTGTACATACACACAGTCCACAACCAATAGTAGCCTCAAGACACAGTTTTATTTCACACCCATTTATTTGATATTCTTTGGGTAAGTGTCTTGCCTGTTATAGTTTTTCATCTTTATGCGGGGTTTCCTGGTCCCACTGGCAAACAGGAAGTGGTCCATTCCAATTCCATTTGTAGAGGGGGAAACCTGGAGTGGACCACATAAAGGCCATTCCAGAGGGGTGTTTTAACCGCTATCAAAGAAATGCATCTTTTAAGTGCCCATATAATATAGCATGGTGATATTTCTGTGACATAGTTTGATTAGATTAAATGTTTTTAATTTCACATCTTACAGCAATTTTCTAATTGATTTTGTCTGATTTATGGTTTGTCTTGTAGGAGGGGTCTGGAGGACGCGTATACAAGAGCCCAAGAGTCAGGGGCCTATTAGTGGTTGTAGTCTTATAGTTAAGACTTAAATTGTCTTACTATAGTTTGAGAGCTATAGTTTGCACATTTGCAAATCTGCACCTGCACTTGACTGGTGTCAACAATACAATTTAAGCACCAAGGGAAGTCTTCCACCATGGTGCTCAATACTACAGTGTGAGTTGAATTTGAAGTCCATAAGACTCGTGTTTTGCCAAGGTTAGTTATTCAGACTTTATGTTTGTGACTGCTAACTATTTTATGAGGTATACCTCACAGTTAAAAGGATATACCCTTTTTTGAGGTATTCCCTCAAGTTACTGTGATCATTTTGGCCCAATAACAATATACTGTGAAACACTACAATGAACTACAAATTCAGCTTGATTGTTTTATCTTATTTTACCATTAACTATTTTACTGTTAGTAATAAATGTTCTGATTCAAAGCATTGGCCATTTAAAAAATTGAAAAAAAATGTTAAAATGAAAAAAAAAGAAAGACATTTTTGCCATACTAGCCATGAAGCATTCAGTGTGCCTTGGCTTGTTTTACATTGTTCTTTGGTATGTGTCTTGTACAGAATGTACAGACGAAACTCCAACATGACTGGTTTCTGCTATCCCCCAAATGTCATCACTGTGCTCAAGGTATTGGTGTGTTTTTCTGTTTGATTGTGTAACAGATTCATATAAAAATGGCATACAACAATATTCCAGATTTCTTGCAATTGACATACATTTTGGGGGAATTTGTACATAGGTTTAATACCGTGCTCATGCAAGTTTTAAAAATAGTAATAAATCCATTCACCACTGTTAAATTAAGTTTGAACTGATAGTGTTAGGGTTGTTTAACAGTTTACGTTAAGTGGGGGATGTAATAAATGTTTTATAATTATTACACTGCATTACTGCTACCACATCTGTTGTAACACTAAATCTAATTGCAAATCAAATAGCAGGTACAATTACCTTACTTTTTATACTGTAAATAATGTAGATAGTTGCTTCAAAGTATATTCAAATGTTGTTTTGACTAAACAACATAAACCTTCGCAGCACCTTGAGTTAAATCTATCCACATTTTGTAGTAAAGCCACTGATGTCACAAAGTTACCCCTGACATTAAGCTAATAAACCACTAACACTACATATTTGTTGTCTATGATACCTTTAAAAACTACCATTGCAAAAACAGAAAATTTGCTAATTAAACTTGTTTGTGTTTGTATGTGTCCATTCTAGCACATAGACTTGTGGTCCTTTGATGTGTTTAAGTTGAATGACGCCAGTGGAGATCATGCTCTGAAATTTGTCCTCTATGAGCTACTCACCAGATACGACTTGATCAATCGTTTTAAGGTATGTTATTTCAATTCAATTCAGTTTTATTTGTATAGCACCAAATCATGATATACATTATCTCAAGGCACTTTACATAGAAGGTCAAGACCTTAAAATCTTATTTAATATAAAGAAACCCAACAGTTCCCACAATGAACAGCACTTTGGCGACTGTGGAGAGGAAAAACTCCTTCCTTAACAGGGAGAAACCTCTTGCACAACTAGGTTCAATGTAGGCAGTTATCTGCCTCAAACAGGTTGCGGTGAACAGAGAAAAATGAGGAGGAGAGTGGAGATGGATGGAAAAGAGGGGAGAGAAGAGAGAGAAAGTGGGGAGGAGGGGGAGAGAGAGGCGAGAGAGACCGAGAACACGAGAGCACAACTACAGACCTGTCTCTTTTCTTCCTTTTCTCTCCAAAGCACAGGAGCTTGATATCTTTGATCAACTCTCTTCACATCTTTACATGGACCTGTGTTGTGGGTCTTTGTCATTCCCTTAGTATGACACATAATCAGCTGTAACATTATTAACCTGCCGAGCAACTTATTACATTTTCCTTCCGATGGAATCTCTCCCTGTGTCTGCTGTTAATTAGACAGTGTTCCATGCTGCATACAGTTCCTGATGCTCTTTGTACATAGACACATAGTTTAAGCACACAATAGATAGATAAATGCATACAGATGCAACCTTCCCCCCTTCGGGACTACTATTACACAATAATAAACCACAGAATACATCATAAATCAATGGCAGCTGTGGAGATGACATCTGCAACGATAACTTTAAGGTGGCAACAGCAATCCTGCAGTAATCAAGTATCTTGTCATACAACAAGTACCCATACAAATGTAACAACAGCAAAGTAATAACATGATTTATACGCAGTGGACAGTTCAATTCAATTCAATTTTATTTGTATAGCGCCAAATCATAATATACATTATCTTAAGGCACTTTACATAGAAGGTCAAGACCTTAAAATCATGTTAAATATATAGAGAAACCCAACAATTCCCACAATGAGCAGCACTTTGGCGACTGTGGAGGAAAAGTTCCCTCATTAACAGGGAGAAACCTCTAGCAGAACAAGGCTAAAATGTGGGGAGTCCCCTGCCTCGACCGGTTGGGGTGAGCAAAGAAAAAGGGGAGAAGAGAGGAGAGATGGGTGGAAAAGAGGGGAGAGAAGAGAGAGTGATAGTGGGGAGGGGGAAGTAGGGGAGAGAGGGAGGCGAGAAAGGCCGGGCACCATCAGGTATCAGATCTGACTAGTTAAAATGTAAACAACAGTGTAAAGACTATTAATTATTATTGATAACATGCACAATTCTTATAATAATTAATTACTGAGATATTGTTATTAATATTGGTAAAAGTTGTTGTCCTGAGGTTCCGGGGTCAGAGAAATGAGAGAGAAAGAGAGAGAGAGAGACTATGGGAGTACAAAGTGAAATAGTCATTGACATGTATTAAAATAAATAAATGAATGAATGTGGGGGGGGGGGGCAGAGAGACAGAGAGAAGTGGAGAGGTGCTCAGTGCATGATGGGAGTTCCCCCGCATTCTAGACCTTTAGCAGCATAACTAAGGTAACTGTGGTTCAGGACTCACCTGATCCAGAATTAACTATAGGCTTTATCAAAAAGGAAAATTTTAAATTTAACTTTAAATGCCGAGATGGTGTCTGCCTCCCGAACCCAGAGTGGGAGCTGGTTCCACAGGAGAGGAGCCTGGTAGCTGAATGCTCTACCTCCTGTTCTAATCTTACAGACTCTTGGAACCACAAGAGAGCCTGTGTTTTTTGAACGAAGTGATCTATTTGGATAATACAGTGTTATCACGTCTTTGGTGTATGAAGGGGCTTGATTGTTAAGGGCTTTAAATGTGAGGAGCAGGATCTTGAAATCTATTCTCAATTTTACAGGAAGCCAATGAAGAGAAGCTAAGACAGGAGTTATATGACCCCCCTTCTAGTTCCTGTCAGCACTCGTGCTGCAGCATTTTGGACTCAACTGGAGACTTTTTACAGATTTCCTGGGGCATCCTGATAATAAAGAATTATAGTAATCTAGTCTAGAGGTAATGAATGCGTGGACTAGTTTTTCAGCATCCTTCTGAGACAGGATGTTTCTAATTTTGTTAATATTGCGCTGGTGGAAGAAAGCTGTTCAGACAGTGATTGTCTAAGATGTTTAGGGCCAATTACAACGACCTCAGTTTTGTCTGAATTTAGAAGTAAGAAGTTTTGGGTCATCCAGGCCTTGATGTTCTTGAGACATTCCTGAAGTTGAACTAAGTGATTAGATTCATCATGCTTCATAGAAATGTACAGCTGGGTGTCGTCTGCGTGACAATGGTAGTGTGGTGCTTTCTCGGTGTACTGATGTCACGGTTCTAAACAAATCATGCAGTCCTCACCTGGAGACATTATTCATAAATTGTAAACCGTTTTATTCACCGCGGAAGTTTTCCTAATTTATTCTGGTCAGAGTCTACATCCCTCCTTAGGCCTGTGTAACTGAGACATTACAACACCTGGCCGACCAGATAAACAACATGGAGAAAAAACACCCGGACTCGCTGCTCATTGTTTTGGGGGACTTTAACAGATCAAAGCTCAGCCATGAACTGCCTAAATATAAACAGCACATTAAGTGTCCCACAAGGGACACAAACGCTCTGGACCATTGTTACACTGTTCTAAATCCTTGGGACTCTCTGATTACTGCATGGTTCATCTTATCCCGACCTACAGGTAGAAGCTGACTTCTGCTAAGTCTGTGGTCAAGACGGTGAGAAGATGGACCTACGATGCAATAGTGGAATTACAATTGGAATTGGAGTGTTTTTGAGGCTGCAGCCTCAGACCTGCATAAACTGACTGATACTGTGACATCATACATCAGTTTTTGTGAGGACATGTGTGTTCCCACCAGGACCTTCCACACATACAACAACAACAAACCCTGGTTCACTGCAAAACTCAGGCAGCTCCGTCAGGCCAAGGAGGAGGCCTACAGAAGTGGGGACAGAGTCCTGTACAACCAGGCCAGAAACACACTGACAACCAAGGTGAAAGCAGCTAAGAGGAGCTACGCTGAAAAGATCAAAAACAGCCTTTCAGCCAATGATCCGGCATCAGTGTGGAGAGGCTTGCAGAACATAACAAACTACAGGAGACCATCCCCCAACACTGCAGTAAACAATCAACTGGCTGACGAGCTGAATGTGTTTTACTGCAGATTCGACTCATTCACACCTCTCCCCCCCTCAGTCATAAAAGACCCATCCACACCCCTTCAGCCACCTCTCCCCTCTGACCCCCCACCAGCACTCAGGATCTGTGAAGAGGATGTTTGTCAGCTTTTCCACAAACAGAAGATCAGGAAGGCACCCGACCCAGACTGTGTGTCAGCCTCCTGTCTGAAGGTCTGTGCTGACCAGCTGGCCCCCATCTTCACCCAGATCTTCAACAGATCCCTGGAGCTGTGCGAAGTCCCCTCATGCTTCAAACTCTCCACAATAATCCCGGTCCCCAAGAAACCCACCATCACAGGACTGAATGACTTCAGGCCTGTCGCCCTCACGTCTGTAGTCATGAAGTCATTTGAGAGACTGGTATTGTCGCACCTGAGGGACATCACAGACCCCCTGCTGGACCCCCTGCAGTTTGCCTACTGGGCAAACAGGTCAGCGGATGATGCTGTCAACATGGGACTGCACTAGATCCTGCAACACCTAGACTCTGCAGGGACGCACACCAGGATCCTGTTTGTGGACTTCAGTTCGGCGTTCAACACCATCGTTCAAGACCTCCTCCACACCAAGCTCACCCAGTTCACTGTGCCCTCCTCCACCTGTCAGTGGATTACAAAACTTCCTGACTGACAGGAAGCAGCAGGTGAGGTTGGGGAGCATCACATCCAGCCCCTGGACTATCAGCACTGGCACCCCCCAGGGGTGTGTGCTCTCCCCACTGCTCTTCTCCCTTTACACCAACGACTGCACCTCTAAAGACCCGACTGTTAAACTCCTGAAATTTGCAGACGACACAACGATCATCGGCCTCATCCAGGACGGTGACGAGTCTGCTTACAGACAGGAGGTTGAACGGCTGGTCTGCTGGTGTGGTCAGAACAATCTGGAGCTGAACATGCTCAAAACTGTGGAGATCACAGTGGACTTTAGGAGAAGCCCCCCCAATCTGACACCCATCACCATCACCAACAACACTGTGACTGCTGTTAAAACCTTCAAGTTTCTGGGCTCCACAATCTCCCTGGACCTGAAGTGGGAGACCAACACAGTCACCATCATCAAAAAGGCCCAGCAGAGGTTGTACTTCCTGCGCCAGCTCAGGAAGCTCAACCTTGGAGCAGCTGACACAATCCTCTCTGCCATCATTCAGTCTGTTCTCTGCTCTTCAATCACTGGTTTGAATCGGCCACCAAACAAGAAAATAACAGACTGCAACGGACAATAAGGTCTGCAGAGAAAAATTATTGGTGTCAGCCTGCCCTCCATCCAGGACCTGTACCTGTCCAGAGTCAGGAAATGGGCAGGTATCATCTCTGGAAGGTGCTACAGAACACTGTATGCCAAAACATCCAGACATAAGAACAGTTTTTTCCCTCAGGCTGTCTCTGTGTTGAACAGCTAAAATCGGACTCAAATATCAGTAACATCACCTGTAAAATATCTGTACATACCAACATACTGTGCACACTGTATATTTATATGTATTATTTGGTCCATGCACTATTCACCATTGCACCAAAACAGAAACATTTCCTTGTCTACACATCAGATATTTATGTATATATATTTTTACTTATTTGTACCTATTTAGCTTTTTTACATGTACATAGCTTTTTATGTTGTTGTCTTTGTTCTTGTTTATGTCTATGTTTGTGTTTTTTTTTAACTGTTTGTACTAAGAGAGCTAAGTAAAACCGGAGTCAAATTCCTCGTGTGTGTTCACATACCTGGCAATAAAAGTGATTCTGATTCTTATTCT